GTCTGGTTTAGCATAAGGTATAAACATGCTCCTTTGTATAACATGTACAAAAACATATTGTGGACTGAGTGATAGTTTGTAAAATAATTATTAACAATCAAATTAATTAAATTCATTTCTTCTAGCCATTTTGTAAGTACATTATTTGATTAGATTAAGTAAAAGGAAGCGTAAAACGATGGTTGATTTTGTTTCCTTATATCAAAATGTATCGTATCAAAAATAACCGAACCGAAACCATATTTTACAATACGTATCAAACCGTTAAGGAGGCATATGGTTTCACCCCGTACAAACTTGAATGGGTGATATATATGTATCTAGTGATGTATACTACTGGGCTTGCTTCAGATACTCGATCTGACCTACATTTTCTGGTTGAATAAACAGGTCAAAGTTTTTGTTGCAGGTTTCAGCTATCTAACCTTGGCCCATCAACCTCAAAGTCCCATGACAATTTGATTCCATTTTACAGGCTAGTCAAATATTAAAGACAGGTTGGTCCCAATTCAAGAAACCTTAGCGCAAGCAAAATTTCATTAGGAAACATAATGAACATTATGAATTTGTATCCTGAACAAAATATTAATTTGGGGAAAAAGGATGCCTGGGGTACATGCATCTATTGAAGTTTCAAATACTTATTCTTGGTGACAATCAAAGGAACCCCTGAAAAAGAGTTTCCAGAAGTAAATCAAAGTACTGAAAGTACTGAATCGAGGTGACGTCTTCCAGTAAACTGTGAAATTCATCCATAAGTAACTGGCACATACAAAAATTTTAATCTAGGAGAAACCCCAATGAAAATCACTGGAAAGAAAAATGTGAGCAACACGACAATGCATTTTGTAACTTGTTTGATCTATAAAAACTGAACTAGTTATCCTTATTAATAAGTAACTGTCACCATAAGTGGAAACACCTGGCATTTCTCTTCAAATTATATTTTGATTTGTTTCTTGTTACACAGTAATAAAGATGAACATTATATTTAATGATATTAACAAAAAAAGTGCAGACACTGGGTTTATATAAAACCTCTAAATAAAAGGTGTATCCCCCTAGTGTCATTTTGTCCACTGTATCCTAACTCTCTCACCAGGGTCCTCTACAATATGCCAACATATTAAAGACCCCCCCTCCACCCTAGTTAAACTTTTCTTACTTTTTTCCTAAATTTTAAACATGAAAAATTGTTTTAAAGATTTCATATAGTATTAAATTGCATTTTTAGAAAGGCATCAGCAATATACACAAATAACGTTTTTACAACGTATTTTATATGTAAAAATGTCGCGCTTACGTTAACATAAGGCGTAGTATATTCTTGCAATTGTTTATAAAAAATTAAAACAATTTAGTCATATTCAACATGGTAGTCATGTTGAACCGTTGTAATAGACCTTCATAAAAATGACTGACAGGTAAAAATGACCATGTTAACGCAGTTTCGATGGAATAGCACATAGGGGAAACATGCTTACTGATTTCACATAAAATATGATACCTACATGTGTAATAAAATTAGTGTAAATTTGTTTCGACGCTTTTTATACCCCCCGCAAACGAAGTTTGGGGGGGTATATAGGAATCACCTTGTCCGTCTGTCTGTCTGTCCGTCTGTCCGTCTGTCTGTGCAATTGTGTCCGGTCCATATCTTTCTTACAGAGGGACATTAGAATCTACTACTCCACACTAAGATTGCTCATAACCTAAGGGTGTGTCATGACCTTGACCAAAGGTCATTTGGGGAAGTTCAAGGTCACTGGAAGAAAAATTTCATAATTCCTGTCCGGTCCATATCTTTCTTATGGATAAACTTGGTAGGTTCTCATTTCACACAAAGATTGCCCATGACCCAAGGGTGTGTCATGACCTTGACCCAAGGTCATTTGGGGAAGTTCAAGGTCACTGGGAGAAAAATTTCAAAATTCATGTTTGACATATCTTTTATGGATAAACTTGGTAGGTTCTCAGTTCATACAAAGATTGCCCATGACCCAAGGGTGTGTCATGACCTTGACCCAAGGTCATTTGGGGAAGTTCAAGGTCACTGGAAGAAAAATTTCATGATTCGTGTCCGGTCTCTTTCTTTCTTATGGATAAACTTGGTAGGTTCTCAGTTCATACAAAGATTGCCCATGACCCAAGGGTGTGTCATGACCTTGACCCAAGGTCATTTGGAGAAGTTCAAGGTCACTGGTAGAAAAATTTAATAATTCGTGTCCGGTCTATATCTTTCTTATGGATAAACTTGGTAGGTTTTCATTTCACATAAAGATTGCCCATGACCCAAGGGTGTGTCATGACCTTGACCCAAGGTCATTTGGAGAAGTTCAAGGTCACTGGTAGAAAAATTTAATAATTCGTGTCCGGTCCATATCTTTCTTAAGGATAAACTTGGTAGGTTTTCATTTCACACAAAGATTGCCCATGACCTATGGGTGTGTCATGACCTTGACCAAAGGTCATTTGGGAAGTTCAAGGTCACTGGAAGAAAAATTTTATAATTCGTGTTTGATACATATCTTTATTATGCAAAAACTTACTTCTGAAAAATCCAGCGGGGGGTATTTTGTCCCAATTGGACAGTTCTAGTTTGAACTTGTTATAGTAGCTTTGTATGTTATTGTAGATTTTCATCATGCATAAATTACGGTACGTTACAATTGCTTTCATTTACAAACTGCACAGAGTTCCCGGAAAGTGATGGAGTTAGGATATAGTGACGGATTTAGGGAGTTTGGCAATGCTTAGTTATACAAATATAGAAATGCTAACAAAAGAATCTTTGCCATACATATATGAATGTATAAAAAAGAAAATAATGTGTCAAATATTTTTGAAATTGTTGCATGCAGACTCTGGGGCCATAAAACTTATAGATGAGCTCACTCTTGATCTCAGTCTCACTTTTCAACAAATACTAGTAATTCCTTAGGTAAAAGTGAAATTAGGATCAAAAGTGCACCAGAGCCAGGAAACAACATTTATCATCGATGCAGCTTAGCATCGAATTCAATCAAAAACCCTAGCCTCTCTTTAATAATTTTTTTTTGCCAAAAGCAGGCCTATTTTGACATTTTAAAGAAAGGTATAAATACTGCATTTTAAAATTTGACTTCCGAAATAGAAGATTAAGGGATTTGTGATTTAACTGTAGCGATTGAATTTGTCCATCAATTCAAAATCTATATTATTAGCTTTAAGGTTTTAAATACATTGTATTACTATCAAATCAAAATACTTAGCATACATGTAAGGTATAGTTAAAAAATATATTATTTGATATTTTCCAGTTAAAAAGCGTTTTTATAAATGTCTATAGCTTGAAAACAAATTATTCGTTATTATCATTCTAAAGTTTCAACTGATAGACTTCGTTACATTATCTTCAAAGTTCATTTTCAAATTCCTTATAGATCTAATTGTTTCTCTTTTTATGAATTCTTTAAATTATGAAAAATAGAAACCACGTAATAATAACTTTATTACAAGTATAAATTATTATGCAAACTAAATTAATAGCTCTAAAATATACATGTATGTCTGTATTTACAGCATGATTTAATCATTTTAAAAATTAAAATGATCTACCTTTGGTATGACATCGATAGATGACTTGTAACAATGTAATTTTTCATATGCGGAATCCTCAATTCTAGAGGAGTTCCGACCGAGCATTTGATGAAATGGTCATTAGCATGCAGCGAAATAGGTACAAGTTCCCCGGTATTATTCACCTTTTTCAACAGTGATAACACCAAACAGATTTATAAAATAGGTGACAATATTTTTACGTTCTGAATAAATTTTTTAAGGAATTACAAAAACAGAGGGGTGAAAATAACTTCGCTTTTGTGATAATTTACCATGAAGTGTGAAAATTACTTCGCTTTTGTATTAAGTTACGGTGAATTTTGGAGCTCAATAGGGACTATTGCGCCTCAGACGCCTCAAAGTTAACCCCAAATTCATTTAATTGCATGTTTCATTTCATGCAGAACGCTTCTTACTGTTTTGTTTTAGTATACACTGTTCTGTTCTCTCCCTTGCCTGTGATTGACATTTAATACACATACATGTAAGTCACGATCCCTCCTGTAGCCAGTTGTTACATTTTACCCTCGCTAAAATAGTTCGGAGCGTAGGGATTCTTCATATCTCATTTCCACTCAGGAACTTGTATTTAGTATTTGTAAATCCATAAAAATGCAACAAATTGCTTGGAAATCGCATTAAATACATTGTAGATCTTGTTTTGTGACTGAAATTCTGATTTCAATACATGTATAATCAGAGGACTATATTTCTTAGAGAACTGATAAAAATTAACGTTTTGATATTTCCATTCAATCTTGCAAGTGCTGTTGTTTATATATTAATAACCTATCCCTGATTTGATCCTTGCCTTCTAAGGTATCATATTTTAACAAGAGTACTGAATTGTCCCAAAGAGTGAAGATCAATAAGAAAATGCAAATGGTAGTGATCACAGGGTTCCGCCATTGAAGCTATAGAGCAGCTATCGAGGCTGACTTATGTCACCTCGGAAAATTGAGACTATATAAGACAAGATATAGAGTTTGCACACACACAAACAAAATGATGGAATTTTTGGCAAATCTCATGCAAAGTGTTGGAAAATATGGCATATATGTCAGTATACTGAAATACTATAGACTGGAGTGTTTGAGAGATTGTGTATTTGTTAGATTTTCAAGTTACTTACTTTAAAAATTGACATTTTACAAATGAATTATAGAATGATAAAAATCTTTTTTTAAAATCTTTTGAAGAAATGCAGTGTCATGATGATTCAGGTGAGAGTTGTAGCCCATGGGCCTCAGGTTCTCTTTATATTGTATATATATCTTGACATTTTTGTCAGTTTTATTAAGTACAAGGTTTGACTGTACAAAAAAAAAAATGTTTTAAGCTTAAAAGTCTTAGGTATCTTAAAAAAATTATTATAAATAATTGTACTGTTCTTGTTTTAGGTAACCAGTGACCTTCCATTCATCTGTCCATCAGAAGTAGATTTACTTAATCGACTGTGCAAATTAGGAACATACTATAAAGATTTCAACAACTTCATACAGAAGCATGGAGAAACACTTAGTTTGAAGAATTCTGGTAACCTTTTAGACATGTTTACTATTATAACAATTTCTATAGTTAATGGTTTACATAGATACAAAGATGTGTTTCTCTTTCAATAGGAGATGTCTCGGATGACATTCATGGATTATACTTAAAGTCTTTTTGTCGAGGACTGGACAGGGTTTTAGAGAATTACCGTGTAATTCTTCGAAAGCTGGAAATGGACGTCCTTAGTGATGAGCACCTCCCTGTTACACACCTTGTCAGTTTCCTACAAGAGGTAAATCACAAGACTTCTTAGCAACTCAGACATAGAAAGATGTATACAAGAGCATGTAGATGAAGGTTGAAGTTGGGGAAATGCCATCTGTTGTCAAGTAATGTTGACTGTTGCTATGTTCCATCCTGCTGGAGGAATGGTTTCATCCTTCAGAGGATAACAATACTTACAGGCATGGGGTTTTTTTTCGCTTTAAAGTGGAAATCCGCTATTCAGATTTGCTCAAACTGCCCTAAAATCTGTATTCCATCTTTTTAAATATCTCAATATTTTCCAATTAAACCGTTTTTGATTTTTTGCTTCTATTTATTCCTACATTATTGATTAAATGTCATGTGCAATTTCATTTGTTCTTGGATTTTAGAAACATTAATTCAACCAATTGTTGGAAGTTTTACAAGAAGCATCATTTGGGGGTAATGGATGAGAGAATGGTGAATAAGGTCTACAGAATCAAAAAATTAAAGATGTTGTTGGAAATTTTTATTCAACCACTTGTTGGAATATTTATTGGAAAAGTCGATAATTTTCACAGATAAATTTGATGAATTGATGATGGAAGGTTAAGTGAAATGATAAACAGAAGTGTCAAAGACTACAGTAAAATGTTGGTTATAAGTAACATTTGTAAATTTTTTTTCCATGAAATGAAAAAAAATTCCGAGTGAAAACTAAGTGCATGGAAGTGCTCAGAATGCAGGGTTTTGACCTATTTGGGGTCGTCTGTAAATCTGCTTTTTTCATTTGACTTCAGAATCATGTTTGTATTTAGTTAAATATTTATAAAATGTTTCTCAATGAAGCAGATTCAACTTATTTACATGAAAGAAGAATACGAGGGCTGTTCAATAAATAATGTCCTGAACTATATAACACATATTACAAATATCACATGACATTAAACTTGACTTTCTCTCATAATTGAATCTTTCATGAATTTATAACAGTTTATGTGACCACTTTTCATCACATAGTTTCATCGTGAGAAGCTGGGAAACAAGGGCTTTTCGAGACACTGCATTATAAATGAATAGTAAAGAATCAGTAAAATAGAGTGAAAATAAAAGCTTCATTATAGCTGCCGTAAAACTTGTTAAAAATCCCAAAGAAATATTCACTGAAATATATGACATTTACAGCAAACAATGCCTGTTTTATAGACAAAAGAGCAGGTGGATTTCAATGATGAAAAATTATATAATGGGGATCAAAAATGGGTACCCTCCTGGCCAACAAAAATTATAACAACTTATGTACTGGTTGCCAAATTTCAACAAATAATATTTGATGATGTATGATTGACTTTAAGACACATAGCAAATTTGATAAACATCATATCGGGAGTAGTTTACACAGTTTTTAAGAAACGTTTGACGGTAAAAAAGCTTGGTACTCAAAGGTCACCCTATATTTTGAAAAATGAGTGAAAACGACAGCGTATGCGAAATTCTGAACAATTATTTTAAAATATCAGTAATTTAAGTTATCCACGTTTGTTTTATTTTCAAACAGATATTGGAACATGAATCTATTGATTAAAACCCTCAAAACAAAATTTACCATAAGATGTACTTGATAAAACCTTCGAATGTCTGACAAGAGCACAGGTATTCAAGAGCACAAAGACAGATTAATATGTAATTTTCTTAAAAATTAGTGGTATTGTTGTCCAAATTCGTATTCGGAGAGACAGTTTAAGTTCTGGAGGAGTCTAAAAAGCAATTTTTTGCAAAAAAAATCGAGAGGTTTAATAGAGGAAGGACCCAGAATCAGGAATCCACAACATTGAATTTCTTCAAGACAGTGTCCAAACCCGCATGCCCTGAAGAGTAAAGGAGTTTTCAGAATAAACAGAAAGTTAATGCTTTTTCACATTAGCAATATTCGCCAGATCTTTGACCTTTTGTCTTGTTTCTATTTCCAAACTTGAAAAAAACACCTTTCAGAGGGAAGAAACAAGTCCGGAAAATGATTGGATCTGCCATTTTCCAGTATACTAAGGGTCATACCCAAAAATGATTTCTAAAAAACAATCAGAAATTGGATAAAAAATGTTACGGACATGTATTTTACTTACAAGAGATTAATTAGTAAAATCATGAAGACTAAATCATTAAAAAGCGTCTTTTGCTTCTTTCTGCACACCGGAGACATTATTTATTGAACAGCCCTCGTATACCTGTAATTATAAATATTTTTTTCCCTGCCATAAATATGGCCAGTGTATTTAGTGTTTGTTTTGCCCACCTTCCATCCCTCCATTCTTCTGTCACAATTTATGTTTAACTGAGCTTTTTAACTTAATCAAACTTTTTTCTTTTTTCTTTTTTTTTTTTTGATCTATATGACCTGAGAACTGTAACTTCAATTTTATTTGGACTAAAGTCGTAAAGAAGAAATGAGCTGATTTTTAAAAAAAAAATTTTGGCTGGATTGGTTTCTGCTTCACCAACTTTTGATTTTGTTAATAAGCATGTTTAACATTATTGCATGTGTAATAAACTTAATAAGAAATATTTCTGAATATTTTGTAGTACCACATTTTGTTCCCTGCTCTGGCATCAGTTCTGGAACAAATCACAAGTCACAAGGTACACAGAAAGGATTAAAGGATCATAGACAGTTTCTTCAGATTATGTAGTTATGAATTGAAATTTTCTTATTCGATTGAAAAATAGTTTCATTTTACTAAATTATATGCTTTAAGGAATTATTTCATTTAAAAAAAACAGTACCATCAGTGCTAACAGACATCCATTGAGTCAATAATTTGTTTTGTTTGTAAGGCACATGGCTGTTACATTCTGGATATTCTTCATAAAAATGCTGTTTGTGGTCTTCCTATTGTCCGAAATGCTTTAAATAGGTAAGAAAACTTCTAGATTAAGAACATTTCTAGATTAAAAACAACTCTGTTCCAATCATGTGTATCCAATCCACAAGTATTCATTGTATTTATACCCCCGCAAACGAAGTTTAGGGGGGTATATTGGAATCACCATGTCCGTCTGTCCGGCTGTCTGTAGACAAGATTTTGTCTGGACCGTTTCTCAGAAACTATTGGATGGATTTGTCTGAAAATTTGTACACTTATTATTCACCATATGAAGGTGTGCACCTGGTATTTTCATCACGATTGGATGATTTTTCTGCATTTTACAAGCATTTTTTCTTTTTTATTTTGTTGTTTTGTTTGGCTCATAACTAGAAAACTATTAGACTTACAATCATCAAACTTGGCCAATTTATGCATCTTGGGTAGAGGGTGTGTCATGACCTATTTCAAGGTCACTGTGACCTTTAATTAAAGTGAAATTTAAAAAAATAACTGTCTTTTACCATTGAATTAAACAATCCCAAAAAATGTAACTGTTGCAGTATCCCTATTTAAAACATGTTAAATTAAGAAAATATTTTTTTTTCATTATATACTTTACAGCAATCCATAACAAATGTTATTTCATAAGAGAAAATCTACCTCTCCCAAGGGTATAATTATGAAGCACTGGTCAAGGAGAATTTTGATAACAGAAAATTGCATGTCAAATCAGAGAGAAATTTATTATTTTAGTGTAAGGAGCTACTTGTAGAACATTTCTGTTCAAAAACTTGTTATCTGTCTCTTGGGAACTGGGCTAAGGAATCAGCCTTAAATAGTTTTAGTGACTAGCCTAACTTATTTAATGAATTTGAGAAAAAGCAACTTCAATCTAATTTGATATTGTATAATAAACTAATTTGAAATTGTGTAAAAAGCTAAATTGATATTGTATAATATAATTAAAACTAATTATATTGTGTGTATGTGGGGGTGGGGTGGGGGGATTAGAATCAGCATGCGCATTCTCCACATTATTTTCAGATTGAAACTTTTAGTATGATATAAAATCCAAATAAATCAAGTATTTAAAAAAAACAAATTTTGGTAGATAGTCCCTACAGTTCTTAAGAATCATGCAGGAACCTTATTCAAAATGATGCATCAAGATTGCACAATTTTTTTTCAGTATAAATAATACAAAATCTTTGTTTTCAGATTTAATTTCAGAATGACACATGCAATAATGCATTTTGTTTGCACTACAAAGGAGAAGGTTAAGATCCATTCATCCCTTGATAGCAATTAGTGGGCATGCATCCCGTCAAAGATTAATTAATGAGTTTTATGTAGGGAAGCATAAGCTGTCTCAATCATTCCTGTTAGAGCATATCTCTGATTAAGGAGCTCTTATCTGTGTCCTTTGGGAATTAGACAGAAGAACTGCTGGTCAGTTTAAATAGCATTTGTCATATGATATCCAGTCTCCTATTTCTAAAATCAATTTGGTATAGATCAAGTTTTTAAGACATATTAGTTAAATTGATATTTATTTATTTATTTATTTTTTTTTTGAAAATATCAAGTGACCAATTTCCTATCATCATGTCCCACATGAAAGACATATGCATATATGTATGTTTGTGGAGGAGGGGCATTTGTCAAGCTATAATGCAACCAGTTGATGATTATTTGTTATAATTAAAGCTTGCACCACAGGAGATGTTTAAACAATTATTATAAGGAATGGAAAAATTACGCAAATCCCTGTAAAGGTTGACATGATTTTCTTGCACTCTATTACTGTTTATAATAATTGAATGAACAATATATGATGGGAGTATCATGCTGAGGTGGTGCACTTTATTATTTTTAAAATGAATTTGATATAATTTTATATAGATTAATTTGATTCTGTATAATGTTTTTTCAATAATCAATTTGCAGAGTATCATGACAAATAGTTGCAATTTATTTTTTCAATGAAATAAAAAATCTGTTACAATGTATTAGTATTGATGTTTTATTTGGTTGCACCTCAGTTTCATGAATTAAAAATATATATATAATGAGCACTCAAATTGTTTCTAAGAAAATAGTGAACACTAAGGGCGAAACGATTACACGTGTAAACGGCGACGTTTCGATTATATGCTCTAAACGTTTACAGTTTGAGTAAACGTTTACACGAAGGTCATTATCAATGTCTATCAGAAATAAAGTTTAACACAAAAAAAATTGTTTTATTTCATAATTTACAAAAGAAACACCGTCTTTGGCCATTTGATAAGCAACAATCTAAACCGGAAACATATTGAATGAAAATATCTAAAACTCGATACGGGCTAACATAATTAATTCCGATTTCCGAGTTGCTAATACTAGCGATGTTTTACGACACTTGAAATATAAAACTTGATATATTTTGATTAAATAAATATAATACATTTTTCACAAGTCTTTGAAAAGTTTCAATACATTCAGCAGGTCCTGTTTTACTTTTTTCGAGATTAAAAGATCCATCTTTACAATTATTTTTTCTACGTCCGGTAACCAAATAAACCAAGCAGTTGGGTGACGAGGTCGTAAGTGAATGAATTTAATGCGCCTCAAATTCTTACGGTTAAATCACAATGACCAACAATAAATTTGTAATAACAGCTCATACTTATATTAAAGTGAAAGAATTGATTATTAAATTCGAGTTTCATGAATGAGTAGCCATAAAAATCCAACATAGAATATTTCCCGTTTAAACGATACCGTTTCGTTTACTGCTATCCATTTAAACGTTTACAAAATTCAGTAAACGTTTCACCCTTAGTGAACACCTCTTAATAGATCCATAAATATTTGTGAATTTGCACCTACTCTGAAAAACCCAGTGGGGGTATTTGTCCCTATTGGACAGTTCTAGTTTATCTTTATGCAAAAAAGGATACTGGGTAATTAAAAATAAATAAACTTTAAGGTTGTATATTAAACAGTGTTAATTCCCTTGCCTCATTTTGCATACCGGTACTTATTCAGACCTCTGACAAGTGGATTTTTTTTTCTTCTGAAAATGACATATTTTTACAGGATTTTATATGTGTCTCATGGACTGCTTTACAAACAGCTGTGTTCCTGGCTTCTGTATGGCTGCCTGAATGATCCCTACCAGGAATTCTTTGTACAGCTGAACACGGAGGACTGGGAGGGTGTCAGTAGTGTAGTCACACAGGAGGAGGAGGAGAGTGATGAACTGCCAATCATGGGGGTGACTGGGAGGCAACTACAGGTAGGTCCCACCCTAGCAGTGTTCTGAATGGGGGGCAACTACAGGTAGGTCCCACCTTAGTAGTGTTCTGAATTGGAGGCAACTACAGGTAGGTCCCACCCTAGTAGTGTTCTGAATGGGAGGCAACTACAGGTAGGTCCCACCTTAGTAGTGTTCTGAATTGGAGGCAACTACAGGTAGGTCTCCCACCCTAGTAGTGTTCTGAATGGGAGGCAACTACAGGTAGGTCCCACCCTAGCAGTGTTCTGAATGGGAGGCAACTACAGGTAGGTCCCACCCTAGTAGTGTTCTGAATGGGAGGCAACTACAGGTAGGTCCCACCTTAGTAGTGTTCTGAATTGGAGGCAACTACAGGTAGGTCCCACCCTAGTAGTGTTCTGAATGGGAGGCAACTACAGGTAGGTCCCACCCTAGTAGTGTTCTGAATGGGAGGCAACTACAGGTAGGTCCCACCCTAGCAGTGTTCTGAATGGGAGGCAACTACAGGTAGGACCCACCCTAGTAGTGTTCTGAATGGGAGGCCCACCTTACTGAATGGGAGGCAGGTAGGTCCCACCTTAGTAGTGTTCTGAATGGGAGGCAACTACAGGTAGGTCCCACCCTAGCAGTGTTCTGAATGGGAGGCAACTACAGGTAGGTCCCACCCTAGTAGTGTTCTGAATTGGAGGCAACTACAGGTAGGTCCCACCCTAGTAGTGTTCTGAATGGGAGGCAACTACAGGTAGGTCCCACCTTAGTAGTGTTCTGAATGGGAGGCAACTACAGGTAGGTCCCACCCTAGTAGTGTTCTGAATGGGAGGCAACTACAGGTAGGTCCCACCCTAGTAGTGTTCTGAATGGGAGGCAACCACAGGTAGGTCCCACCCTAGTAGTGTTCTGAATGGGAGGCAACTACAGGTAGGTCCCACCTTAGTAGTGTTCTAAATGGGAGGCAACTACAGGTAGGTCCCACCCTAGTAGTGTTCTAAATGGGAGGCAACTGAATGGGAGGCAACAGGTAGGTCCCACCCTAGCAGTGTTCTGAATGGGAGGCAACTACAGGTAGGTCCCACCCTAGCAGTGTTCTGAATGGGAGGCAACTACAGGTAGGTCCCACCTTAGTAGTGTTCTGAATGCAAACTTTAGGTGGAAAACTAGGCATTGATCACTGATAAAAATAAAGACAAGTTGTGAGTTTTATAATTATGAGGGTTTATTTTTTTTTTTACTTTAGTTAATTGCAAAGTTTTATTTGGTTTGGACTAGAACATGGGAAATTACTCTTAACAAATAAAAAAAATATTTTAAAAGAAAAAAAATTATGATTTATTAAATCATTTAATTGACTTTTCAAAATACTAGTAATTTTGAAGAAATGTCATTATATAGCATCTATGCAGCTGCCTAATTTTGAAAAAAAAGTTTGATACATGTATAAGGTAATACATTGAGGGCAAATACCTTTGGATAAATCATATTTCAGCTTGTTGCTATTAGAGTCATACATGTTCATTAATGGAAGTTCTAGAGTGGTAATCTATGAATGTATTTGCAGAAAATCCTGTCTCTGAATACCTCAGAAGTAAGTTCCAGTCTTCATAGATTTGCCCTGAGAGCCGAGCTCCTACCCTGTTACATCCCGGTAAGGGTGGCCAACAAGATTCTGTTTGTAGGAGAATCAGTTCAGATGTTTGAAAATGAGAAGAAACCAAACTCTCAAAAGAAAGGTATGAGAAGACTGACTGTTGAATGAAAAGATTTCAGTTTTAACTCTTTTCCCCTTAGTCCATTCCCTCCTTTACCCCTTAATGACGACTTTTGATGCCTAGCCCCCAACCCTTAATGACGACTTTTGGTGCACATGTATTTCATTGTTGATTTGACTTGAAATTACCGCTTATTCACAAATTATTAGAGCACAGGTGGCCACCTATGGCCACCTGCAGCTTAACAATAGATGATTGCTTCATACTACAGTTAGAAATCACGTGATTTACCTGTGTAAACAAACAAAAGGATCTTGGAAAGTCCCACCAAAATTCAAAATGGCGGACTGTTACATACGATGTTTTTAGAGCATGTAACTCAGTAAATACTCATTATTTTCTCATCCAGTAAAGCATTACATGAAATTCAATCTATGAACTCCCTATTTTTCGAAAGTTTTGAAAATAATAATGATCTATTTGTATAATTAACTTTGAAATAAGATACGAAAATTTTGTGAAGTCCGGGACCGCACAGTGCAGATTTCGTTACCTGTTTCTCAGAAATTCAGAAGATACCTTCCATTTTACACATATTTATAAATAAGAAGGTGTAGAAAATGATTACATGTATTTTAATAGAATTTGATCATTCAAGTAAACAAAAACGTTCAGAAATCAAGTTTTATCACCCAAGTCTGAAAATTTGTTGGCGAGATTGACATTGAAGTAGCACTTCAATTTATTGATTTCTGAGAAATTAAACTTATAAAGGATCACTTCATTTAAATAGGGATCTGACCTATAGGACCAGGCTTGGTTTTTTTCTCTACAAAAAGCTTGTTGATTTCCGTTCCGATTAATGGCATTGGCTGAATACATATAACAAAATGTTTTTCATAAATCTTTATTTCAGTGAGTAGAGGTAGGAGTAACCCTTTCATTGATTTTCTGAGTTTGTTATCTCCAAATGTAATAATTGATACCCTAAAATCTTGAAAATAAGCCGTGGCTTATTCTAAGTTTTGGTAAGAAAATGGGGGCTTATTTTCAAAACCGGCTTATTTTCAAATTGCGGCTTATTATCAATGCAAAAAACTGGTAAGAGACGAGAGCATAATCATGGTTTATGTTCAATACAGTCATTGAATAAAGTGTAATCGATAGCATAAGAACTACTTGTTCGATCTAAAATTAAAAAATCATGAATGTCATGAAATGTTTATAATAAAATTAAATAATTACAATAATACTGTGTTCAGTATCTTGCGTGTAGAAAAAATACTGTAAACGTGGAAAGTTTGATGAGGAGGAAACATTGACCACTTTTTTTCCCAACAATACTTTTACTATTGGAAATGTCTATTGAAAGGCTGGTTGCCCCCCCCCCCCCCCCCCACTTTTTACTAGAAGCTAATGATATCAAGGAAATGTAGTACTGAATGCCAAAAAATTGGTACTGAAAGAAGTTGGCCTTGAAAAAGTTGGTCAATGTGATTAAATTCTAAGGAATATATACAGTGTTCGAAATTCGGAATTATTTTCTGTGGGTCCAAAGGACCCACTGATAAAGGGTCTACACAAGTCCTTCCAAGGCAGCATAAGCCCAGAAATAATACCATCAAATATTTTGGGAAAATGAACTTTAATTGACAATCTTGGTAAGTTTATCGATTCCTTACCAATAAAAAAATCATGTTATTTAAAAAAAATATGTTATTACTGTAAACATACTTTTTGTTAATTATGAATTCTAGGTATAAAATACAAATTTGAAAAATGTAGACATATATACGGTAGAAAACAACAAATAAAGATTAATATTTAAATGTCACCTTTTCCGGGAAATTGTTCTCTCCTATAGGTCAATTCTTTTGTCATAGTGAATACATCCTTTGATGATAAATTATAATTAAACCATCAATTATATTATCACACATAATTTTTATTACTTATACAGATGATTTTGGCTTATAAAAGCCGTTTTACTTGTTGAAAATATCCAATTTGGGATTTACACCTGCTTTCACCTGAATTAGTTATTTACAGAAAATTTCAATCAATATTATGCTGATAGATTTGAAAATTTTAATTTATTACAAATCCAATGATATATAATACATAACATCAATTAAATATTTTGACCCCTATTAGTTCAGTTTTAAACTGCACTCCAATTCATCTAAAACGGTCTAAGGGGCAGCCAGGCAAACACTCTGAAGATATGGCCAGTGCGTCAAATTGTGGCATTAAGGGGTAAAGAGTTGAGCTTCATTTTGCGACTTTTTGAGTAAAATTATATAATAAGACTCAAGAGTTATCCTTCCTGGCTTAGGAGCGGATATCCTTAAGGTGGCTTCTTTATCAGTATTCATAACTGTGCATATTAATAACAATGTATAAAGCAATACATGTATGATTTATAGAAAAGAACTGCAAATGATAGCATTGTTCTCCAGCCTACCTCCAAGTCTATTTTCAAATGTTAACATATTCGATGAATTTTTGATATTTTTTATAGATAATTATATGGATTTTCATAAAACAATACTTATTTGGGAAAACAGAGATAACTCTAAAATTTTGGTAAAACTTGTGTTTTTGTGTTTTTAGCTCACCTGAGCCGAAGGCTCAAGTGAGCTTTTCTGATCACATTTTGTCCGGCGTCCGTCTGTCTGTCCATCTGTCTGTAAACTTTTCACATTTTCGACTTCTTCTCAAGAACCGCTGGGCCAATTTCAACCAAACTTGCCACAAAGCATCCTTGGGTGAAGGGGATTCAATTTTGTTCAAATGAAGGGCCTCTCCCTCATTCAAGGGGAGATAATTGGGAATAAATGAAAATTTGGTGGTATGTTTTAAATATCTTCTTCTCAAGAACCACTGCACCAGGAAAGATGAAACTTATGGAGAAACATCCTCAGGTATTGTAGACTCAAGTTTGTTCAAATCATGACCCTCGGGGGTAGGGCGGGGCCACAATGGCCGACCAAAGTTTTACATAGAAATATATAGGAAAATTCTTTAAAAATCTTCTTCTTAAGAATAGCAAAGCCTTAATTCATCATATTTATATGGAAGCATCCTCAGGTAGTGTAGATTCAATTTTGTGTAAATCATGACCCCCGGGGGTAGGACAGGGCCACAATGGCCGACCAAAGTTTTACATAGAAATATATAGGAAAATTCTTTAAAAATCTTCAAAGCCATAATTCATCATATTTATATGGAAGCATCCTCAGGTAGTGTAGATTTAATTTTGTTCAAATCATGACCCCCGGGGTAGGGCGGGGCCAAAATGGCCGACCAAAGGAGACCATAGTAATATATAGGAAAATTCTTTAAAAAATCTTCTTCTCAAGAATAGCAAAGCCATAATTCATCATACTTATATGGAAGCGTCCTCAGGTAGTGTAGACTCAAGTTTGTTCAAATCATGACCCCCAGGGATAGGGCGGGGCCACAATGGTCGATCAAAGTTTTACATAGAAAAATATAAGAAAATTCTTTAAAAATCTTCTTCTCAAGAACCACTGTGCCAGGAAAGCTGAAACTTATAGGGAAGCATCCTCAGGTAGTGTAGATTCAAGTTTGTTCAAATCATGACCCCCTGGGGTAGATCAGGGCCACAATGGCCGAGGCCAAAAAAAAAAATATGTGTGTTTCCGGTAACATGTCCCTCAAAATTAGGGTAGGTAGGTAGGCAATTACTTTTTTTTTACTTTTACTTTTTAGCTCACCTCAACGAAGTTGGGGGGAGCTTATGTGATACCCTCGGCGTCGGCGTCCCAGGTTAAGGTTAAGTTTTTTGGAGCAGTTTTCTTTTTAATTACTTCTGTGTCCTATACTGATGAGACATGCATGGAAGATGCTTCAAATGTGTTTTATTGTACCAGTCAAAGTTTCAGATGCTGCAATTTCAGCAAAGGAATTACCAGGTTAATGTTTTTGGAGCAGGTTAACATTTTTGGTGCAGTTTTTGGTGTGGGTTTCATTTCCAAGTAACTATAAGCCCTATGTTGACCAAACTTGCATGGATGATACATCTAAGGATGCATACTACCGGGCTTGCTTCGGATGCTGAATCTGACCTACATTTTCCGGTTGAGTGAACAGGTTAAAGTTTTTGGTGTGGGTTTCATTTCCAAGTAACTATAAGCCCTATGTTGACCAAACTTGCATGGATGATACATCTAAGGATGCATACTACCGGGCTTGCTTCGGATGCTGAATCTGACCTACATTTTCCGGTTGAGTGAACAGGTTAAAGTTTTTGGTGTGGGTTTCATTTCCAAGTAACTATAAGCCCTATGTTGACGAAACTTGCATGGATGATACATCTAAGGATGCATACTACCGGGCTTGCTTCGGATGCTGAATCTGACCTAGATTTTCCGGTTGAGTGAACAGGTTAAAGTTTTTGGTGCAGGTTTCGTTTCCAAGTAACTATAAGCCCTATGTTGACCAAACTTGCATGGATGATACATCTAAGGATGCATACTACCGGGCTTGCTTCGGATGCTGAATCTGACCTACATTTTCCAGTTGAGTGAACAGGTTAATGTTTTTGGTGCAGGCTTCATTTCCAAGTAACTATAAGCCCTATGTTGACCAAACTTGCATGGATGATACATCTAAGGATGCATACTACCAGGCTTGCTTCTGATGCTGAATCTGACCTACATTTTCCGGTTGAGTGAACAGGTTAAAGTTTTTGGTGCAGGTTTCATTTCCAAGTAACTATAAGCCCTATGTTGACCAAACTTGCATGGATGATACATCTAAGGATGCATACCACCGGGCTTGCTTCGGATGCTGAATCTGACCTACATTTTCCGGTTGAGTGAACAGGTTAAAGTTTTTGGTGTAGGTTTCATTTCCAAGTAACTATAAGCCCTATGTTGACCAAACTTGCATGGATGATACATCTAAGGATGCATACTACCGGGCTTGCTTCGGATGCTGAATCTGACCTACATTTTCCAGTTGAGTGAACAGGTTAAAGTTTTTGGTACAGGTTTCGTTTCCAAGTAACTATAAGCCCTATGTTGACCAAACTTGCATGGATGATACATCTAAGGATGCATACTACCGGGCTTGCTTCGGATGCTGAATCTGACCTACATTTTCCAGTTGAGTGAACAGGTTAATGTTTTTGGTGCAGGTTTCATTTCCAAGTAACTATAAGCCCTATGTTGACCAAACTTGCATGGATGATACATCTAAGGATGCATACTACTGGGCTTGCTTCGGATGCTGAATCTGACCTACATTATCCAGTTGAGCGAACAGGATAATGTTTTTGGTGCAGGTTTCATTTGCAAGTAACTTTAAGCCCTATGTTGACCAAACTTGCATGGATGATACATCTAAGGATGCACACTACCAGGCTTGCTTCGGATGCTGAATCTGACCTACTTTTTGTGGATGAGTGAAAATGTTAGTTTTGATGCATGTTTCATTTCCAATAAACTATGAGCCCTATAATGAGCAAACTTGCATGGATGATACATCTAAGGATGCACACTAATGGACTTGCTTCGGATGCTGAGTTGGACATACATTTTTCAGATAATAGACAAGGTAAAAGTTATGGTTGCAGGTCTATTACCAAAAACTATAAGGCTTATATAACATTGTATAAACCAAACTTGCATAAATGCTGCATCAAGAGATGAAAACTCTCAAATTTGCTTCAGATGCTGGATTTTCATTACATTTTCATGAAGAAGAAGTAGTTTAAATTTTTTATGTAGGTCTATTTCAAAGTATCAGATCAAAATTGCTTTTAAAAATATTTTCATTTTTGGAATGTATACTTCTTGTTGGTTAATTGTGTGACTTTGCCTTACTTAAAGACAACATTCGTTGAGGTGAGCTCTGTAATCTCTGATTACCTATGTTTATTTTAACTGAACATTATATTTGACTGTTTTTAGGTAAATTGTATATGATATTAAATATTAACAAGTAGTATTTTGTTTTCTAGAGGTAGATAGCAGAACCAATTGCAAGAAATTGATTTACAGAAAAAGACATTTGAATTTTAATCACAATTTAATAATGAAATTTTGTCACATTTAACAAAAAAATTAAAATAAAGAATTCAAGATTGTTTTTCAGGCCTACTTCTACCTCGACCTCATTATCATTACATGTAAAGACATAGTTAATATCCATTTCTTTCACGGCCAATAATGTCAGAGTTAAACCGCCGTTGTTAGCTTCAAAATTATGACTATCTTCAAATAAATTTCCCACAGTCCAGTGCCAAAGAAAGTTATATATTGCAGTAATTTTGTATGAGTGTGGACATTTCTTGAGCTTAAAACCCAATGACAACATGTGGTGGACTTGGAGTTGAGTGATGCACATATAAAATAAGTGATGCAATACATGTGTGGCCACAATTTGACACACTAGCCATATCCCTGGAGTGTTTGCCTAGTGGCTGCCCCTTACAGCGTTTTAAATGAATTGGAGTGCATTTTAAAACTGAACTAATCATGCTAATAGGGGTCAAAATATTTCTTTTATACTATGTATTATATATCATTGGATTCGTCATAAATTTAATTTTTCTCATCTATTTACAGAATTTTTATTGTAATTTTCTATAAATA